CATATTGACTTCAAATAGTTAATAACATATTAGAAGTCTATAGACCAAAAGACCATGTAAAGACCATGTAAAGAAAATGGTATTTTGTCCAGTTTTGAAACCTCTTTCCCACAAGCATATGCTTGTAGCTATCTTCAACAACAAAATATTTTAAAAGAAACTATCTTTCTCAGAATAAAACTCATTGTGCCCCCAAAATTTACTTAAGTTAAGAAATAGGTATAAGTTAGTAACTTCTAACCTAATTTTAATCATTTGGAGCCCATTATAAGTTTGTTAACATTAAACATATTATGTAACTACTAGAGGCCCAGTGCACGAATTTGTGCACCGGTGGGGTCCCTTGGCCTGGCCTGCAGGATTGGGCCTAAACTGGCTTTCTGACATCCCCTGAGTGGTCCAGGATTGTGAGAGGATGAAGGCCAGGCTGAGGGACCCCACTGGCGCACAATCAGGGTCTGGGAGGGACATGGGAGGTTTGCCAGCCTGGGAGGAGCCATAGGAGGGCTCCAGGGCATGCCTGGTCCATTTTGCTCATTTCCGATCAGCCGGATCCCAGCAGCAAACTAACCTACCAGTCGGAGCGTCTGCCTCCTGGTGGTCAATGCACACCAAAGCAAGCCATATCATTAGCATATTACATTTTGATTGATTGAATGGATGACCAGACAATGGGACACTTATCATATTAAGCTTTTAATATAAAGGATAGATGTTTAAAAGTTACACAAAGATACTGATCTTCTGCCAGGGTTTACTTTAATCTTTGACACAAGTCTCTAATATCTGTATTATTTATCAAATGAGGGTAGGAGAAAGGAATTCTAAAGTCCTGATCCTGGTACTACTCTATCTGACCTTCTTAAAATGGAATGTCAAAACACATATTATGTGCAGCAATGGCTGAAAGATATAATGAAAGACATAATAGTAATAAAGAGACATCACTGGTTCACACTACCACTTTTTAAAATCTAGATTATGTGAAATCAGTCATTACAAAGAGTATTCCACCATACAACCAAAAGTGTATAACACTGAAGTGACAAAAACTGCATTATTATCTTCCCAGGTAATTCTATAAGACTGATATCACCTTAGTAATACCTATTCAATTATTCACAAACTAAATGCCATTTAGCAAAATCATGTTAAACTTTAAAAATTTTGTGATCTCAGCCAATTTTCAAAAGAATAAAGAGCAAAAAACCCTAAAACATAAACTATGTTATAACATAGTTTATAACATAGTTCCACAAAATGGATTTCCTCAAATAGAGATCTTACTGCATAAAAACCCAAGACATTGCAAAAATATGTCATATTTTTTAATTAAAGGAAATTGCTTCTAACATTGTCAAAATAACTCAGTTTCTCTACTCAGAAAGTCGTTAGCCTTAATGAAAATAACATGTGTATTCAGTATTGTCGTATATCACTCTCTTAGGTCTAAAGACCTCCAAATTATTCAATTCAGCTGGTAAGAACCAAATTCCTTGTTTGAGGGAAAATTTGCAACCTGAGGAATTCAAAACACAACGGGGGAGAAGCAAAATAAGACCAACTCTCCACCCACACACAAAACCAAGCCAACCCAAACCCAAACCCAGAACTCTTAATTCTCTTAAAATTTCAGTTATCTATATATATAAAAGCCTAAGCCACTGTTAGAACCAGATGACCGGCTGGTAGCTATGATGTGCACTGACCACGCTCAGTGCAGAAGCTGTCTTCTGGTAGTCAGGGCACTTCCACAGCCAACCTTCTGCGGCCCGACAACCTCCTGAGGTCCTTCCCCAACACCGGCTGGCCCTGATCGGCTGATCGCCAGACAGGCCAAGGGACCCCACCTGTGCATGAATTCCTGCACCAGGCCTCTAGTTTCCTAATACTTCTCTTCTATAGCCATGTACCCCATTTTTATATATCTTTCACATCTTCCTTAATATAGGTCAAATTCAGAGTAGTTATTCAGATGTCAAAAGTGTTTTAATTCTATTGTAAATCTTCCTGTTCCAAAATGAGAATTGAAAAAAAAAATTGAAAGCAAGTAATTTAGGTTTAAAAATATGATTCTATCCTGTTTAAACACTGAAGCTTTTATTTTGAAGATGCTACAATATGTAACTATATAAAATAGCACAAAAGCATAAAATAGTACTTCCATTGCTCAAACAACTGAAATTGGGGATGATTCTCTAATTACAGTCTTGCTAATCTAATTAACTTCCAACAAATAAAGCAAAATACTTATTTATTTTTTTTTACCTAAGTAAAGTTGATCTTTAGAAATAATGTTTTCTAAGCTGCTTTTGAAAACAGTTAAATAGGCAGCTCTACAGTTCATATAAAATATCTCCTCTTCATTTAGTGGATATTTCTTTGTTCGAGGACTCTCACAAAGCGATGATTTCTGACTGGAGAAGGCTGCATCACTTCCTGGACTGATGGCCATTCTACTAGAAAATAATTTTAAAAACTGGTTTAGTAAATGTTAATCCCCTAAAGTGCAAACGTCATCTTGCCTTTCAAATGGGGGTGGGGGAATCAAGACATTAAAGTTTTTAGTTATGGGGGGGGGGAGATAAACATTAAAATATGCATAAGGTTGTATTATCTGTTAAACTAGAAAAGTATACAAAGAAGAAGCATAGGAAAGGAAAAACCTACATCTATTTTCTCAAAAAAAACAGGAGTCAGTTAAGACTCTTCATAGGATTGTCGTGAGGATTAATCCCATTAATATATGTGAAGCATACAGAACAGTGCCCGGCACAAATTAAGTGCTAAAGAATATGTAGATAGAAACTCCACAGTAACAAGAACGTGGATGTAATGTGATTGGCAGTTGGCATCCATCTCCACAGCAGGATTGAGCAGGTCACTTCACTAACCTTTCCATAATGCAGGCCCACATTGTACATGACTGGATTTTTAAAAATTCCATTTATAGTGTTATCATGAAATTTTACTGTGTTCCATTACTAATAATAATGTTTTGGGCCAAAACCGGTTTGGCTCAGTGGATAGAGCGTCAGCCTGTAGACTGAGGGGTCCCTGGTTCGATTCCGGTCAAGGGCATGTACCTTGGTTGCGGGCACATCCCCGGTAGGGAGTGTGTAGGAGGCAGCTGATCGATCATTCTCTCTCATCGATGTTTCTAACCCTCTATCCCTCTCTCTTCCTCTGTAAAAAATCAATAAAATATATTTTTTTAAAAATAAAAATAATGTTTTGGGTTTATATAACACCTCTGCCCATAATTGCTTAAAGAACCGTCATACATCACGATGTATCCCTACTACAGTGGTCAGGCATTTTTAGTCCATTTCACAGATAAGAACATGGAGGGGCACAGAGTCGCGCATTGAATAGTAGGTAGCAAAAGTCAGTAAATTTCAGTAACCGTTTCTTCTTTATTCACGTGAATGAAGGCGTCTTGTGCGATAGTTGCTATGAGGCACTAAATTGTGCCAACGGTCTAACAGCTTCCAACATTACTGTACTCAGCTTTGACTTTAAAAAAAAAATACATTCCAGCCTAATAAATTGAATATCTCAGGTTCAACAATAAGACGACACAGGTAGGGTCCCCTTCAGGACTCATTGGATTCTGACTCCAGAGGCCTAAATCACTCGCACCTTCTTGAATTATATAGGCCTTTTCCACTTGGTGAAGAAAGATAATAATCGCTTATCATGGATGAAGTACCCTATTTATAATACACAGACCGCCTGCCTGACACTTCCCTATTACACCAGATTTAGAAGGATCCCGCAGGGATGTGGTGTCACAGTCTGGTTACTGCAAATTGGTACCAGTATAATTAAGCATCCGAGTTTTAAACACATACGCGTGCACGCACCTCCTCAAAAAAAAAAAAAAAATGGTTAAGAAAACCGTTCAAAGAAAAGAAAACGTTCATTTTGCAGCAAACAATTTTAAAATGTAAGGGTTTTTATTTATTCATTTTGGATTGTCTCCGAATACTCCTTCCAAATAAGGCAACTCCCTCACGTGGAAATCCCACGGCAGCAATGTTGCAGAATTCTATTCTTCCCCTTTCGGTGAGGAGAGCCTAGACTAGAGCTTAAATAACTAGTATATAACGGTGTAACCCCCCTCAGGCTAGGAAACCTCCTTCATTTAAAACTCCAGCCCGAAAGTCAGGCAGGGGCCTAAGGGAGCTCCATGCAGCAAACGGCTCCATCCATAACGGGCCGCACCGCAGCGAGAAGAATAAACTCACAGGCGCCTCGGGCTCTGCAAGGGCCGAGTGGAAACCGAGAGCTCCCTGCGCGGAGATTTATGTCCCACAGCTGGTCTCGGGCAACATCTCTGTCTTTTTGTGTGTTTTCGGAGCAGGAGACTGCATTTTAGAGGTACATTTCGGGCACCTCCGCGGACCCGGTGTTAGTCTGACAGCGAAGCAAAAGCAGCGAGTGGGGGGGCCAAGCCGAGCAGAGAGAGACCGCGAGCGGATGGCTACCTAATGCCGGTTTACAGACGGAGGGGCGCAGCCAGTTCTCTGCACGGACTCCACAATCCGCTCCCCGAAGCCGAAGCCGGACGGACGGACCGTGGCCGTTCTCTAATCACCATGGCAACGGCGCCTCGCTGCCACCGGAAATCAGATGCAGAGCGCCTCCCCCAGAAAGGTCCGGCTAGGAATGTCGGGATCGTTCATCCTTAGGGATCAGAGGCGGTCCTGCCGCTCCTCTTTGCCGGGGCGGGTGTGGCCGGAATGTGTGAGCGAGGAGGCCCTGGGCTGCCCGGCAAGGGGCTGGAAGCGGGCTCTGACCTACGAGCCCTCCTCTTTTCCGCGCCGGAACTCGTTGTCGCGGGGACGGTGTTTCCGGCGGGCTACCTTTGAGCGTGACACCTCGGAGGCTCGCCCGCGCTTTTCAGGCTCAGGGTTGCCCTCGGGAAAGTTTGTCTTCGGAAGAAGCTGCTGGGGTTAGTGTGATCCGGCGGCAGTGGTCCTCCCCTCGGTGTGGAAATGCCGTAGGTATCGCCCTCCAGGTGGTGCTATTTGCCGGGTACTTCTGCGAGCTAGGAGAGCTTTTTTTTTTCTTAAAAAAACCTTTTGTTTTGTTTTGTTTTGTTTTTCTACTTTTCTGAATATAAGCTTGCCTCCTCCGCCGACAGTTCCTGGTGCTTACCTACTGGACACCTCTACCCACCAGCCGCGGTTACCGGGTACACTTGGTCCACGTGAATCCCGATTGTCCAAGGCTTTTGACTGGCTTTATAGACTGTGGGTTGTCGTCTGTGATGTATTTTAGTGCTTGGAGTCATTTCAGATAGAGTTAGCATGCCTAGAATGGGGTGGAGTCGATTGGAACACGCCGTATCATTTGATAAGGCCCGTTCGTTTGGTGAGTTCCTGTAAGCTTGTAGGACAACTCAAGAACTGGGTCTCCGGGACTCTTTCAGCCTCCTCACCTGGGAATCTGCTGTGAGATTCATCCCCCTCCTCCATGTGGGGGCGGGGGGGGGTCTACTGGTTCTTATATAAATTTCCACCTCTGGTATATGAGAGAGAGAGAGAGAGAGAAAGAACGAACTGAGTCTCAAGAGACCTGGAATCCAGCAATGAAAGGGGGAGGAGTAGCCAATTCTGGCGTCAGTTTCCTCATTGCTGCTATATAGAAACTTTTAAAAAGCTCAGAAAATAAGTTTTTCTTTGGGGTAGAGGGATTAATATCTAACACGTGAAATATTCTGACTGTCCTTGTCCCCAGGTTGACTTAGGTACCCCCTCCTGTGCATTTCTAAAGTAACTTATTCCACTGCGGACCTAAGGATTCCATTCCTGTCAAGGGCAAGTACCTCAGTACCTCGGTTGTAGGATTCTCCCCCATCCGCTTAGTGCCCCCAGGAGGGAACCAATCTCACATGGATGTTTATTCATTCCTCTTTCTTCCAATCTCTCTAAAAATCAATGGGAAAATATCCTAAGGTGAGGATTAAAAAAAAAAGAAAGAAAAAAATAATAACTTGCATTTATTGAATCCTATGATCTGGTACAGTTTTAACAATCTACCTACACATTCTCATTGAATCCTAAAAAAGGACTTTAGAGGTAGAGGCTACTATTATCTATACTTTCCAGTATATTATCTATACTACATTTTTATTGATTTCAAAGAGGAAGGGGGAGGGAGAGAGAGAGAAAGAACAATGATGAGAGAGAATCATTGATTGGCTGCCTCCTGCACCCCCACACTGAGGCCACAGCTCGAGGTGACCTCCTGGTTCATAGGTTTATGCTCAACCACTGAGCCATGCCTGCCGGGCCAATTATATCCTTAAAAGTTAGGATTATTGAAAAGGTTTTGCTTTTGCCTCAGGAATAAGCAAGAAGACTTGCTTTTCTACTGCTGCACTATAAAAAAATCCAGTTAACACTTTTGTGAATCTTTAAGGATAATGTAGCAAAAGTCCTGCTAAATAGGAACACAATGGAAACGTGTGCATTTGCTTAATAAGTGGTGATACCTATGATCCCATTCTGTATAGATAGTGGGGAACCAAAAAAACGATTAAAAGTGGAACTTTTGGGTAATTGTTTTCCTAACATACTAACAGGTACATGTTATATTAGAAGGGTCTGTGGTACAGATATTCTGACAATAAATACATAACCTTAAAGTTGAGGTTGACATCATAGGACATATATCTGACACAAATTTATTTTTAGAATACCGTATTTTTCCGGCGTATAAGACGACTTTTGAAACGAAAAAAAGCCTGCTCATATTGGCCAGAGTCAGAGAGGCGGTCTATTAAAAAAAGAACTGGTGTTGCCTCACAAGTGGGGGGTAGTCTTATACAGCGAATATAGGCCTAAATCTATGTTTTAACTGTAAAATTAGGGGGGTCGTCTTATATGCTGGAAAATACAGTATATGATTTTTACAACTCAACAGTAAAAAGACAAAAACTTTATTGAAATAAAGGCTCCAAGACTAAAAGGTTTAAGAATGGTAAATATGCATTTTGTTAGACATCAGGGAAATGAAAATTAAAACTATGTTGAACATCCAGTAGAATATTATATACATTTTACATTTTAAGAATACTTGGTCAATATTGGATCTTTTTTTTTAATTCCTTTTTATCCTCACCCAATGATATGTTTATTTTTTTTATTATAAAGAAAGATAAAGAGAAACATCAATGTGAGAGAAACATCAATCAGATATCTCCAATACATGGAACCTGAAACCTAGGTAATGTGCCCAGCCAAGAATCAAACCCTCAACTTTTTGGTGTATGGGATGATGCTCCAACCAACTTAGTAGGTTTGTTTCACAGAGGTATAGGCTAGCACTTATGAAAATAATTTCTGTGTCCTCTAGGCTTGAGCAAATAAATGTATTGAAGATCATGGGAGCTAGGTTTTCACTGTCGGATAGAGAAATTTAAAATATTTTGGTTTGCCCTTGATTCTAACCACAGAACACACTGGTCAGGGCGTAAGAGACTATCCATAAGAGTGTTAATATGACATCCTTTAGGGACCTGCATTTAATTTATCTTAAATAGAATTTGGAGAATCATAAAAATTAAAAGAATTAAATATATTTTGGGAATTGAGACAAGTTTTAAAATAAAAGCAAATAAATCATTAATTTAACAACTTTGTGCCAATCACTGTCAGGCCTTGGGGATTTAAATGTGAACAGATACTGTACCTTTCTAGAAGTTTTAACTTGAGTAGGAGAGAGATTTTAGCAGGCATTTTTAGAACTCATAACCTATCAGTTAACAGATAAGGTGCTGATGATATAAATATCTTAATTAAGAAGGGAAGACTAAATAAATAGATTATTTCAACATAAGTAAGTTTAGTGAGAGAGGCATGTACAGTGCTTTAGTTATAGAGTGGGAGAATCTTTAGTGCAAACTGGATATCTTTAGAGAAAACTTAGAAATGATTGTGCCTGGGATGGCTGGTGTGGCTCAGTGGATGAGTGTCAACTCAGGAACCAAGAGGTCACCTGTTCGAGCCTCAGTCAAGGCACATATCCAGGTTTTGGGTTTGGTTCCCAGTGGGTGGGAGGTGCTGGAGGCAGCCATTAGATGATGTTCCTCTCTCATCTATGTTTCTACCTGTCCATCTTTCTAAACAAAATTTTAAAAAATATATATTTTTTAGTAAATTTTAAAAAAAAGAAATGATTGTGCCAGAATCTAAAGGGAAGGGTAGCATCAATGTTAGTTTATTATTAATAATTTTATGTTGTAAAATATAATATATACAAGAAATTATATAAATTATCCCTCTGCCATATTTAATTCTGATATGTCTATTTGGCCCCTTTCAACAGACTCTTTTAAAGGACTTTATGATAGTGAATTATGTAATCATAAATGTTGAACACAAAAGAGCATAGGCTTGAATGAAAGGGAGAATGCAAAGAGGATATAAAAGATTCTTCTCCCTTTGTTGTTCATTCCTATACATAGAATGGGGGGGGGGGATCATTTGAGATATCTCAATTTATACCTAAGGAGTCACATGAGATGTGAATTTGTAGCCATTTCTGTTCATTAAAAGATTTTTAACTTATAAGCATACTCCTGTGAAGTAGCTGGCAATATTATCATCCTTATTATAATGAGGAGTAAATGGAAACACTGACATGCCAAATCATATTTTTATTTTCTATTCAGAAATTTCCTACTAGTTTACAGGCCAGTATTAAGTTTATGAAGCTCAGTGAGTTTGTGATTTGCCTAACTATAGGGGAAGAATTTGGCAGAGCATCAAGGCTCCCTGTCTTGTCTGCTTTTCTTATTTTATCTTCCTACCTCCTCTCCCCCACACATTCTTACCCAGCTCAGCTATTCAAATTATATGTAATCTAATGTTTTAAAAGTCATGTAAGATGTTGGGTTGCAGTCTTGATCCCCGGTAGGGGGCGTACAGGAGGCAGCCGATAAATGATTCTCTCTCATCATTGGTGTTTCTATCTGCCATTCTCTTCCTCTCTGAATTCAATAAAAATATTAAGGAAAAAAGTTATAAGTCCTGTAAGAGAACCTCAAATGATATCATTCTTAATTCTTAATTAGGATCAAATGATAAGTTCACTTTTTTTTAGAATAATTTCCTTTGTGTTAAAATACACCTCATTTGAGTGGAATTGTGTAATATTTGTCCTTTTGTAATTGGCTTGTTTTACCAAGCATAATGTTTTCAAGGTTCACCTGTATTGTAGCATGTGTCAGAATTTCCTTTTTTTCTTCTTATCTTTACCCAAGTATATATTTTTATTGATTTGAGAGAGAGAGAAAAAACATCAATCAGTTGCCTCCTGTACATACACTGACCAGAGATCAAATCACAACCTAGATATGTGCCCTGACTAGAATTGAACCCCCAACCTTTTTGTGTATGGGATAACACTTCAACCAATTGAGGCACCCAGCAAGGGCAGATTTTCCTTCCTTTTTAAGGTTAAATAATATTTCATTGTGTGATTGTATATGTGTATGTGCGTACCATTTTGTTTATTCATTCATCTGTGGATGGGCATTTGCATTACTTGTATTTTTTGGCTGTTGTGAACAGGGGTGTACAAATATCTGTTCATGTCCCTGCTTTCAATTCTTTGGGGTATATACCAGAAGTGGAATTGCTGTGTTAGATGATAATCCTATGTTTAATTTTTTGAAGAATTGGCCAAGTGTTTTCCAGAGCAACTGTATGATTCTCTAGCAGTGCATATGAGTTCTACTTTCTCTATATCCTGACCAACACTTATTATCTGTTGTTGTTTTTATAGTAGCCATCCTACTACCCTGTTTCGCCGAAAATAAGACAGTGTCTTATATTAATTTTTTCTCCCAAAGTTGCGCTAGGTCTTATTTTCAGGGGATGTCGTATCTTTCCATGCGCTAGGTCTTATTTTCGGAGGATGTCTTATTTTCGGAGAAACACGGTAGTTGTAAAGTGATCATCTCATTGTGTTTCTGATTTGCATTTCCTTAATATTAGTGCTCCTCTTAATATTAGTGATGTTGGGCATCTTTTCATGTGTTTATTGGCCATTTGTGTCTTTTTGGGTAGATGTCTGTTTGAGTTCTTTGCCTATTTTTGAGTGCTCCATTTTTTTTAAACCAAGGTAGTAACCACAAAGGCTGCTTATAACTTTACAGAACTATCAGAGAGATATCACTTTTAATTGCTAACTATTACTGGTAGCAGGAGAGTATATACCTTAGGAAAATAGCCCATATATCTAAGTTTTGTCTGTACTTCCTTTATAATGTTTTATTCGTCTCTTCCTCTCTGTTCCTATGAACATTATCCTAATCTGCTTGACATCATCTCATGCTTGTATTACAATTGTATCTGGATACAAGAGTGGGTTAAAAACAAAACAAAGCATGTAAAAGTCTATAGTAGGTGCTTAATTTAATAATTGATATCTTGACAGTGAGCTCAATTCTGATAGATGGTAAGTAAGAATAGATGGTCATAAATTCCTCCAGTAAGTTTGCTCTTCCTTACCTTTTCTTTAGTCCTTCCCCTTCCATTTAACAAAGATTTATGATGCATAGGACCTAGATCTGAGTTCTTTCACTTGAGCTGTGTGATAGTGGTCAACTTGTCCTTACTGAATTAGCTAAGTGATTTCTTTGATTTCTCTAATCTTCTCTGTTAATTTTTTTATGATTCTTGTAAATATTTTTAGCTTTTGATTATTGGTTACCTGAATTATCTGAAAATTACATTTCCCACAATAAAATATGGTTTAGATTCTCACTAAACTGTTAAACTGGGAGAGGCAATTTAATTCTCACTTTCACATATTTCCTTGGACTACTTAGATCAGCCTAGGACCTACACTAGAAGCCTTCAAATCCAAACATTTAGTTTCATTCTCTAGGAATTAACCAGGAATAATAAAGCAAAAATGTTTTAAATAGTTAAGAACTGGGTGGGGTTTTGTTTCCTTCTGAAAGGTAGTATTGCATCTTTTTAAAATATATATATATATATTTATTGGTTTCAGGGAGGAAGGAAGAAGGAGAGAGATAGAAACATCAATGATGAGAGAGAGAATCATTGTTCGTCTGCTGTCTGCCTATTTGGCATCGAGCCCACAACCTAGGCATGTGCCCTTGGCCAGAATTGAACCTGGGACCCTTCAGTCCGCAGGCCGATGCTCTATCCACTGAGCAAAACTGGCTAGGGCAGTATTGCATCTTAACAGCATTTCAAAATAAAGGATAAAAAAAATGCTGTACTGCATACTTTTAATTTTTTATTTCTACTTTTGAAGTTTCATTAAATGCCCGAACATCTTACACACCTGAGTAGGGTAACGTACAGGGTGTCCCCCTAAAAATGTATACACACTTTTTTCTTATAGCTCAATTGGTGCTTTCTTTTTGGATTTAATCCATTGGAATGAATAATTATTCAAAGTGGGACAACCTGTTTATTCTAAAACTAAATAAAAATACTCTTTTGCGGTTATCTGACGTTTTACTCGTCCTTACCTCTATTATTGCTTCATTGAGAATTTATATTATATTGATTTCAAATAGACTTTGAAAAGATATAATTAATTCTTTAAACCAGTTTAATTAATCTCAAGAAATAATATTATGTAATAGGCTAATATAGAATAGCAAATTTAAGTGAACCTTTTCTAGATAAAATTTTTATATTTAATATTTAATGAACAGTAATTTCTATAAATTGTCCATCCCTTTTATTTTTCTCACTCCTGTCACTTACTTGAAAGTCAGTAGACAGTCATTTATGAATAATCATTACTAGAATATATGTTTTTGTTTTCTATACTGCAGCCTTTAGCTATAATACAACCTTTTTTCCCTAATGCACAAATTCTCTAATATTTTAAATAACAATTTCTGTTTCTCAGGGATCAAGAAAATATTTATAACTCTATATTTGTCACTGGGAAAACTACTTTTAATTTATATTGACCTTTTTCTCCTATGAGCATTTAGTCTGCATTCAATAAAATGTTGATGACTGCTCTTTAGAAGACAGCTGTATGAAATAAAGTATTATAAATATTCAGCTTTCCTTTCTAAGCATTGTCACCAACAGCTGGGCATCCAGTTTAGCAGAACAGATTTTGCAGAGAGAGAGCCTGGCATCTTCCTGAATCAGTTTAGTGAAGGAGACAAAAAATAGTTTCATATGGATTGGGGACTTATAAAGACATAGAGCATCTGTTCTTCAGTTAAATCATAGTCTGATAACATTGAATTATGGTTAAAGCTACAAAAATGTGGAAAACTTGTTTCATCTTGCTCATATCTTTATTTTAATACCTAGTGCATTATTTGTGCAAATAATGTACTTTCAGTATCTCCATTGAAGGTATGTAAATTATTTTGCTCTTCTGTATAATTTTTATTAGTAGTATTTTAGAACACACAAATAAATAATTTTTACTAAGATCATTTTATAATATGACAAATGGTTGAATTGTATGATAGTGCATATAAAAAACCACGTATGCATAAAAAGATTCATTTAAATATTTAATTATGATTCCATCTTGAAATATGCTATTTTTAAAAGTTTCATTGAAAATTGCTTTCTTACATTATTTTACTTTACTTGGATATAGATTACTCTTAAGTATTTGGTTACTTAAAGCACAACAAGTCTAAGATTTCTTGAAATATTTTGTTTGCAGTGTTAAAAGATCACTGAAATTGGATGATCCATTTGAAGCACATGTAAGTATTTACTTAAGAATTTATAATTGCATAGTAAGATTGTGTACTTAATTTTTTTAACAGCTAATTTACCTTATTAAATATAAAAATCATTAAAAAACACTGTAGCATAATTGTGTTTGGTACATCATTTTATGCATATAACACATTTTTGTAAATCTAATGTATGGAAGTTCCCATTCAGCTTAAGGTTTCATTTAAGAGGCAAATTACTTAGAAATACTATGGAAATAATTTAGTAGAAATTAATTCATTATTTGTAGAAAAAATATTCTGCCACTTAAATGCACAAGAAACAATATGGGACAATGGTAATGTTTTAATCTACATTCTGTAATCTTTATAATATCTGAAATAAAAACATTAACAGCATTTTTATATCAAAAATGTAATTACCTTTTTCAGCTACACTGGCATGATTAAACAATAAAATACTAACACTGTAATAAATTTCACCATGGTTGTCACAATAAAAATAAAATTGTACTGTTGCTATCACTTTTTGTAAATCTAGTCATAGCATATTCCCAATGCCAGCATATCATGACATATGTTAGTTTATTATCTTTTCATACCAATATGGATCTAGATACAAACACTAATACTGAGATACTTACAGCCTCAGTAATCTTAAGTGCAAATAAATTGGTGAGAAAGTAAATTAAAACAAATAGCTAGTCAATAAATAGGCTACTACAAAATCCCATAGGAGAATATCATTTCAAGAAATGGTTTTATATGAAATTTTTTTTTGAAAGATTCACTGGTATTTTAACAGTTTACCAATTTTAAAAGTTCCTAAATGCTTTTTAAAAAAAATTTAAACAAAGATGGCAAAATACTGCAGTGCCACTAAAAAAAATCATTAGCAGTGTAATTAGCAATTTAGGATACCATTATCCGACTTGCTCTGTACAGAATGCAGCTGTGACTGTAATTCTGCATCTGTTTCTTTGGTCAGAATGGTATTTGGGTAGATGAGTAGTCCAGCTTGAAATGGAATACTGTTCTTTTCTGCCCCAAAACTGTTCTTTGGGAGATGGTAACATTATTCGAATGAAAAAGAATAGCCATTTAGGAATTTATCCTCTTTGTGAAGTACAATTGTCGTCATAGTAGGCATTTTCTTTCTTTCTTTCTTTCTTTCTTTCTTTCTTTCTTTCTTTCTTTCTTTCTTTCTTTCTTTCTTTTCTTTCTTTCTTTCTTTCTTTCTTTCTTTCTTTCTTTCTTTCTTTCTTTCTTTCTTTTTTTCTTTTCTTTTCTTTTCTTTTCTTTCTTTCTTTCTTTCTTTCTTTCTTTCTTTCTTTCTTTCTTTCTTTCTTTCTTTCTTTCTTTCTTTCTTTCTTTCTTTCTTTCTCTCTCTCTCTCTCTCTCTCTCTTTCCCTCCCTCCCTCCCTCCCTCCCTCCCTCCCTCCCTCCCTCCCTCCCTCCCTCCCTCCCTTCCTTCCTTCCTTCCTTCCTTCCTTCCTTCCTTCCTTCCTTCCTTTCCTTACGCACCCCTCACCCCCTCCAGATTACGATGCATCAAGGAAGCCAGTGCCACAGCTAATATCCTATATTAGAAAAATACATTGTTTTGTTTGGCCCATTTCTGTACTTTTAAACCAATTGACTTAACTTGGCCACCACCTTCTAAATACAAGTTTTCAGTATCCTCACATGGGCCTTCATCATTTATCTTCTGTTTTCTGATCTGTTTCTGATGTTTTCAGCTTTTGTACTCTACCTAATCATTTGTTAGCAACTCTATATTCACATTTTAGGTCTGATAGCTTTTGTGCTACTGCTAAGTCTAGTCTTCTCTCCGCAGCTGCATTTATCCTTCCATCTACTCCAGAAACAACTCAGCCCTGAAACAGCCAGGCTCCCAAGAATCTACCCACATGTCAGTGATCCAATTGAGGCTGTCTTAGCCCATGCAAAGGAAAATCAGACATGAAAAAAACAAAACAAAAAAAAACATAGAGCTAGACTTCTAAGAGTACATAATTGCTGTGAAGCTACAATGGAACTAGTAGTAATTTTTGGTCATTTTGCCTGACCAATCTGATGCTGAAGGAAAAAGGGTTTGATGACAAGAAGAGGAGATAGGCCATATATGCCACTTGTTTGAAGTGGAGCCTGTTTATCTTAATCTGCTATTTTCTCTCATAGATATTGGGAATTTTTATATCCCAGTTTCCTATGGAGCTACAGATTAATGCTCCATTCTGTTAGGGCAAGTCTGCAAAAGTCATTTTTTAAATCATTCTCCTAGTAGGGGAAGCAGAGATATGGATCATCCCCTGTGATCTTTCTTTAATATACAGGATGTATCCTGCAAGTACCACTACTTACTGAACCTTCCAAATTATTTGGGGATAGTGAGGAGTCCTGAAAGTTTCAATTTATCATCACCTACAGTATTTGGGCTGCTCAAGTTCTTGTCCTCTAAGCACTATTTCTTGATGAATTTTCATGACCAAAGATTAATTATTTATTACAAACTGCTGCCATTACAAGTCCAGATGACGTTATATTATACATACAACTGGCTACCTGGTTGTAGACCTGGCCAACTTGACACAGTCCCTCTCAGTCCATCTCATAAAAGGAATGAAAGAAGAGATGCTACGGATGGGAAGGGAAGGAGCATACTTCCTGCTAAGGCAAACTCAGTCGGCATGCTGCTAGAAATCTGGAATGGCAGTTCAGGTTTGGGGAGGTTTGCTGATTTGGACATAGATTATTACATTACTATTGGTAGGATACTTCTAAATCTGCTTATTTCCATGGCCTATGCTTGTCTTATCTAAGATAGGTCTTTCTGAGCATTAGGAACTTTTATAGCTCACGCTAGAGGCACATTGCATGAAGACTAGTGCAAAAATAGGCCTTCCTTCCCCTGGCTTCACTCCTATGTTGAGCATCTGCCCCCTGGTGGTCAGTGCGCATCGTAGTGACCAGTCATTCCACTGTTCATTCAATTTGCATATTACCCTTTTATTATATAGGATATATATACACATAGATATATTTATGTACATATGTACAGTCATGCACCACATAATGAAATTTCTGTCAAAAATTGGTCTCATATACAATGTCCCATAACATCGTAATGGAGCTGAAAAGTTTTTGTCACCTAATGTTGTAACCATCATAACATCATAGTGCAATGCATTGCTTGTGATGATTTTGGTGTAAACAAACCTAGTGCGCTGCCATTCTTATAAAGTAATACCACATACAATTGTATACACTAAATAATGCATAATAATAAACAAGTATGTTACTGGTTTATGTATTTACTACTTTTATTGGTATTTTAGAGTTTTCTCTTTCTACTGGTAAAAGAAAAAAGTTTGCTGTAAGACACTATGCCATGTTATGCCAGCCACAGCTTCATACATCTCATGTTTACTTTGTCTCTTGATTGCATCATTTTTTTCTGGCACTTGATTTAATCCCATGTTGTTTTGAATAGTAACATGCTATCTAGGCTTGTAAGTCCCAGACATGTCATTTCATCAGAATATTCTTTAATATGCATTTCTAGTAGATAATTACTTCTTTCATGACCATAGTGCCATTACACCTTGCAAAATTAATAGTAATTCCTTAATAATATCTTTCACCCAAGGTAATATTCCTATTTCTATGGTTGCTTCAAAATGTTCTTTTATAGTTGGCTTATTTAAAAAAAAAAAAAAAAGGATCCAAACAAGGTTGATACATTATAATACATATTTTAAGTCTTTTGGGGACTTTTTAAATGTTACTCTTTTTCTTGTAATTTATGTTTTGAGAAAGACAGATATTTATTTAATAAGCATCTTCCAAATTCTGGTTTGGTTAATTCTTGTGATATCCTTTAAATGATTTCTCTATTCATATTTCCTATTTCCTATAGAAATGGTAGTTAGAGACAGAAGATTGATTAGATTCTAGTCCAAATTTTTGGTAAGAAGTGTCCATAGGTAATCTATATAGTTCCTATTACATCACCTCAAGAGGCACAATGGTCTTCTTGATGTTCTTACTCGTTTTTTCTACTGTTCCCTTAAGTTCATTGAGCATTCTTATCATCAGTGTTTTGAACTCTGCATCTGTTAGATTGCCTCCATTTTGTTACATTCTTTTTTAGAGTTTTGTTCTTTTCTTTCATTAGGGACATGTTTCTTGGTCTCCTCATTTGGCAGCCTCCCTGTGTTTGTACCTATGTATTAGATAGAGCTGCTATGTCTCCAGGTCTCCATAGACTCACTGTATGTAGTAGATGTCCTGGGGACTCCTGGGAGGTGCAGGTCAAGGTCAGTCACTGAGTGTGCCCTGCCTAGGGCTACATGGCATGAGCTAGAAAGAGATCTGCAGAGAGCTGCTAGTTGTGCTGGACTTGGAAGCGCCTGGGAGAGCCAAGCCATGAACCAAGGTTGGCCACCTAGTGCTGGCTGGGTCTAGAGCCTCTTAGCAAGAGGTTCCCAAGGCCAGATGCTGCTTGTTTGAGAGATTTTAGGAAAGTTTGCAGCATGAGCCAAGACAAGTAGTTTTATAGAAAAGCCACTAGAAACTGCTTACAAATGCCAGTATTCTTAACTCTTCCTGTTGTGGGATACTAATCAATAGGCCATGTCCTTCAACATTTAGGGGGTGGTAGAATGGAAAGTCTCAGATCAATTCTAGGGTCACTTTTAAGCATCTTTAAGGTTTAAAAATTAGAGGATCTTGATAAACTTTCAGAGGGGGGAGACTTATAGAAGTAAAATTATGCCTTCACTTATATCAATAGGCAGATTTATAAAAATTATTTACTTACTGAAAAATATTTAGTGGGATAGTATGTATTACTCTGTATTTAATAATTGTAGACAGATATTTTTCCTTTTAACCAACACAGGTGACTAAAAAGAAAAGCAAAAGATACACCTCAGTATTTTTAAGGAGAGAAAAGAAAAAATACACACACATGTGCACACACAAAGACTTATTTTATGAAAGCTAGAAAATGGTTTTCAAGGAGAAAGATATGATCTATAGTTACAATGTTTAGATATTTGGCAATTGGAAAAAATAATTTTTTGGTGAAAATAGGAAAACAGATTGACATAAATGTACATTAGGGTAGTGACTTTCATTTCTTGTACATACACAGTGAAATAGTTCTGGACAATAAATTCTTGGAAAAGTAGGGTAGGATTGGATAAATGTCATAGTTTATGACTGAATACATATAAGCAGGTGAAAACTCAAGATGGAGAGGTAATAACCACCTGATAAAGAGACTTAAAATCCTTTCACCCTACAAAAAAGATTGTGTTAGAGTTATAACTTGATATTGTAGTTGGATTTTTTTTAAAAGATATTGGTTACTTTTGTGGCTACTATGGGTACATAAAATAAAGAATGGAATGTTTTTGTTTCCTCAGTAGGAAGTATTTATCATTTAAAATCTTAACTGTAAAATAAAGTTGATGTTACAGATTTGGGAACTAATACCAAGATTATTGAAAAATGTGACACAGCCAACTATTTCTGCCATGGTGTCTTAAAAATAAAGAATAGTTGACAATGGAGAGTTATATAACTTTCAAGACAGCTATCAAGCTAAGTTCAATTCTACAATGTTGGCAGCACCTCAGACCTTTCCTTTATCCTCCAAATCTACCCTATTATGTCTGTTTTACATCTAGACTTCAGGTCTTTCATAATTTTATTTTCATTTATCTAAGCCTCACCTCTTGCTCTCACCAAGAATTGTTTTGTGAGGTTACTGCAGCCCACTTTGATTTTTTTCTCTCCCCTTAATTCCTTTAGCACACATACAACCTTACTATCTGAGGCCAGAACATTTTATTCTATTTCTTTGTATACATTAGTTAGCAAGTGCTGGTTGATTAGTAAGCATTATAGAAAACAATTTCAAAGGAAATTCAGAAGAGAAAGCAATTAATAGGGGTGTTTGGAAGAAGTGGATCATAAATAGGGACCTAAACCAAAGACTAAGTTCCAGGGAAGATAAGAACGAGAGGGCTAAGGTCAGGTGTATATAACCTAGATACTGGGCGAGAAAAGAAAAAATACACACACATGTGCACACACAAAGACTTATTTTATGAAAGCTAGAAAATGGTTTTCAAGGAGAAAGATATGATCTATAGTTACAATGTTGCCATTTAATATTGGATGAATGAACTAAAGAATGAATGTGTAGCCCTAGCTGGTTTGGCTCAGTGGATAGAGCATTGGCCTGCAGACTGAAGGGTCCCAGGTTTGATTCCAGTCAAGGGCACATGCCCGGGTTGTGGGCTTGATCCACAGTAGAAGACATGCAGGAGGCAGCCAGTCTGTGATTCTCTCGCTTCATTGATGTTTCTATCTCTCTCTCCCCCTCTCCCCTTTCAGAGAAGAACTCTTAAATAAATAAATAAAAATTAAAAAAAAAAAAGAATGAATGTGTAGAGTGGCTTGGCCAAATTGTTCTTTTTTTTTCTTCTATTGAATTTATTGGGGTGACATTGGCTAGTAAAATTACATAGATTTCGGTGTACAATTCTATGATACATCATCTGCATATTGTTGGACTAGTTCCTTTTAAATCATTTATTCATCACAGTTTTGAGCCCTAGGATACAAAGATGAAAAAGTGATATTTATTTTCAGGAACTCAAATTTTAGTGGGGCAGACAGAAACTTAAAAATTTGCTAGCTCCAATAGGAAGTATGAGAACACGGAGGAGGGAGCTGCAGAGAGGATTTGTGTAACATAGGCCAAATTCTCAAAGACCTTAAATACCATACTCAATTGTTTGAACATTATTTTGGTTATGAATAAGACAAAACACTGTGACAGAGCAACTGTGTGCAAGGTTTAGGACATTACTGATCCTTCCTAAAATTTCCTTGTGGGATTTATTATAAAATCTGAGAGTTTCCCTGGCCTAGCCCCATTATTACTTCTGATTCAATTGACAGCAAAAGTCAGGATATAATTGGAAAAGTCAGCTACCTCTAGCTTTAGCTTGTTTGAAAATAATATCTAGAAGGTAATAAACCTTTAATGTTAAAATTTTATAAATATCAAATTGAGATGCCCTCGTTAGTGTGGAGACCTAAAATATCTTCTTAACTTGAAAAACAGTGTGCACTTTGAAGGTAATAATTGAATATACCTAAAATCCCAAAGAAAGAATAAGAAAAAGAGTATGGGTTAAATTTTCTGAGTTTTCAAAGATATTTTCAAAGATCTATAACTAAACAAGTATTTTTGTCCCAAATTAATATTTATTTCCAGTCATTTGAGTCTTCAAGAATCACAAGGAAGAGAAGTGCTACCAATTATTCTCCATCAACTGGAACTTGTAGATTGAGCCCATATGCTTCTCCCATAAGCTCTAAAGAACAAGAGCACAAAAATGGACCTACAAATGGTTAGTTAAACATTCTTCCCCACTGATTGTGTTATTTTTCAGGTTATTAGTTAAATCAAAATTTTGATTTAATAATACATGGATATTGCTGAGGCTGATTTTTCTCTTCTTGAATTCAACATAGAAAAGGCTAGAATAAAGGTATTACTACTTTGGACATAAATGTAAACTTTCTAGGCACTTATTTTAAAATGCTGCTGCAGACTTTGTTCCCTTTCTATTCCATCCATTAAATAGAAATTATGGCCTGACTGCCTTCAGCTACTATCAATTATAATGGTTACAGATATGCCTCTTAACAAGCTATCCATCATGTGCATAAATTAAAGGGCATATAATTCAGGTACTGCTGCACTATACAGTTTAAGAATGATGCTTCTAAATGTTATTTTTTACATGTTGTCCATTTAGTTTTATTCATATTTTGTGTTTCTTTATATAGCTGCCTTTATTATATTTCATTTCTTTGTCTTTTTATTTTTTTTTTACTATTTTGAATGCATTTGCAAAATGTTTGTAGAATTTTTCATAAGAGAATAACCTAATTTAATATTAAAATTTTTATTTTAAAGTACTGTTAGTTTAAATTTTATCATACATATTTTTTCTTCTCTGGTAGTTTACTGCTAAATGTTTGCTTAAAAGATATAGAAATCTAGATTTCATAGGTTTAATTTTTAATACTGGAAAAGGTTATGAATCAGTGGCATGTCAAGTTTCTATAATATAAAATTTTAAGTAGGCTCAAATTTAATAAAATATATTTAAGATATGCTATGATTAGCCTAATTCATATTTTATTGTTTCACATTTATTGAGTGCTAAGCATAAACTAGAAGCTACACAGAAACAAAGAAGTCTTCTCATTTTACCTAATTTGTTGTAATGAAACCCATAATGAGACCTTAAACTTTTAAGTGACATTTATTTTACTTTAATCAAATGCTTTTTATCTTAAAGCTATCACGGTTATATCAATATTTGCTTTCACAAAAATATCTGAAGATGTATACATTTTCTTCAAGTTCTATAGTTTTTTTTTAATATACTTGATATAACTTAGGTTTAAAAATAAAAATTAGTGCCTTAGAAATGGCGCTTCTCTATACTGAAATGTGAATAGATTTTAAGTGGATCTGTATTTAATTTCCATATTGAAATTAAATATGGACTTAAGGGAACATTCCTTTTGCCTATAAAAAGACTGGTCACATGATTCCAGTTGACATTTAAGTGGATAATTATCACAGATTATAGTACTAAGTAAGCTCTTTTTTAAAAAGTCATATAGCAAGGTTTCCTGGGGAGCTGGTAATATTCTATTTCTTAGTCTATATTGTGGTTACACTGGTTCACTCTGTAATTATTCATTAAAACTGTGTTATATGTATCTCACATACAGAAGTCTCAAAGGAGGAGAATTCTGTCTAGGCTCTTATATCAGATTATGTCATCTTATACATATTTTAGAAATAAGAAAGCCTGACTCTTATGAAATAAATTAAGTTCTAAATGAAGTCATAACTTCAACAATCCTCACTTTTTAAATATTATACAAAACATAAGGTACAATTTTAATACACACTTTTATCTAACAGTTTCAAGGACATTTGAGGCACTACTCCTATCATACTTGGGATATAATTCAAAGCCTTATTATGACTTTTAAGACCATACATCATCTAATACCTGAGCATATTACCTGGCTCATTTTCTACTAACCTTCCCAAGTTTACACTACTTTAGCCATTCTTTCTTGCTATTCGTTAATCATGCTGGGCCACTTTCCACCACAAGGTCATTGTACTTTCAGGTCTCTTATTCTGGAATACCCTTGCTCAAGGTATTGATATGTACATTCTGTATACATCTGAACTATGTTGTATGTGAACAGATTACTTAATATTAAATGTATTTAATCCATTTGTAGTTATGAAAAGAAGAAAATCTGATTCTAAATCATCCCTCTACTTATTCTACATGGGCCAAAAATGGGTGACCGATTCCATCTCACACATTTAAGATATAAACACACATACATATTCATTTATTTATCATTATATATATATATATATATATATATATATATATATATATATACATATGTATTATATGTGTGTGTGAGTGTCATTATATTGCTGCCCTCTCCTCCCCCTTAGCAAATTTCTCCAAAATTTCTTCCTCTACTCTGAAAAGCAAAAAAATGTTACATTTTTCTCTCCTTTACTCCCAAGAATGCATCAGACTTATTTTTAGATAATTAAGGTAACGGGATAAACAATAAATTTGTATAAAGTGAGTACTTATAAATTACATAATAGATCTATAGAAATCACCCATACTGTGACAGTATAACATCACAGAGATATGAAGAGAATATGATCAAACAGTGAAGGAATATGATAGAGGAAGGAGCTCCAACCTATGTCAAATAGGAGTTCCACAAGTAGGAAGTAGAGAGAATGGGGCAGAACCGGTATTATAAGATGTAAGGACTATACTTTTTTTTTAATGTTCTCTATTTTAATTAATAATATGGTAAAGATTGATAGATCTAACTCATATAAAACAAAGGCTTTATGGAATTCTCAATTTTTTATTTATCTTTATTGTTGAGAATATTCAGATGTCCCCTTTTATTTGCCCCTTGTCTCCCCCCCGCTTCTGCTCCCACTCTCTAACCAGGCCTTCACCACACTATTGTCCATGTCCATCAGTTTTTCATAATTAAGGAAAAATAGAAATTTTCAGATTAGGGTAGTATGCTTAGTCTGAGCAGGATGAACTAAAACAAATCCATACCTAATCATATCTTGTTGAACTCTAGAGAATTAAAGACAAAGAGAAAATTTTAAAAGCAAGGGAATGACAGACAGATGGTAAACTTCTCATCATTATCAATTTACCATTACAGCAGGGAATGGAATAATAATACCAGCCTGAAATCACAGCTGATTTTTTTATTCAGGAAGTGAAGATGAAATAAAGGTATATTCAGATAAAATATAAGAATTTTACCATTAACAGATACTCCCTTGAAAGGATTACTGAAGAATGTACTTCCTAAAGAAGCAAGCCAAACCTCAGGTAAAGAAATGGAATGCAAAGCATACTGGTGAAAAACTAATTAGCAAACAAATTGGTAAATCTTAATTGTAAACTTAATGACTAAAATATGAATACAAATGTGCTGACTATAAAGCAAAGACAAACAATTTGACGTGTGGAGGGTTAAAAACAAATAAAATCCCATAATAGGATAGGAGATAGATGAGGGAGCAGAAAGGAGTTTGTGATTTAAGATCGTTGAAATTTTCAGGTAGTAGGTGGAAAATCTGTAAATTGATTTTTTTAAATTGTGTTTTTGTTTGCTTTCTTATAAAGTGGGAAAATTGTCAGGATTATTGTGAGAATTAAGTTATTTAATACACAAAAATATTTAGATTAGTGCCTGGCATACAGTAAGTTTCAATATATATTTTAGCTGTTTTTATTAATATTATTAATATTTAGATTTTAAGGGGCAAATAAAAGGGGACATCTGAATATTAAATGTATATGGAGCAGAAAAAGAAAATAAAGCAAACATTAGCTTTTAAAACAAGCTAATTATTGGTATAAGAACATTAATGTAGACTAAAACAGACTGTAAGGTAAAAAGGCATTATTGAAGATAATAGGAATCTTTACATAATTAAAGATTCAATACCAGAAAATCCTGAATCACTGCACGTAAAATAAAAACTCAAGACAAAAAAGACAGCCTTACAAGAAGAAATTTACAAATCCCTAACCATAGTAGGAGATTTTTTTTCCCCTCTCTTAAAAACTGATGGAATGGATAAAAAGTTTGAACCCAACTAGCAATCTTGATCTAGTGATCAAACAAAGGTAATACCCACATATAATAAAGCATATCGCCCTGGCCAGTGTGGCTCCTTGGTTAGAGTGTCACCTTCACATCATAGGGTCTCAGGTTCAATTCCCTGTCAAGGGCCTGTACTTGGGTTGCAGGTTCAGTCAGTCCCCAGCCCTGGTCCAGTGCATGCAGGAGACAATCAATTGATGTGTCTCTCTCACATTGATGTTTCTCTTTCTCTCCCTCTCCCTTCCTGCCTCCCCTTACCCCCTGTTCCCCCCATTTCTACTCTCTAAAAATCAATGGGAAAAATATCCTTGGCTGAGGATTAACAAAAAAATAAAACACACAGAACTTTTACAAAAACATAACTAGTTTGGAGTCGCAAAGAAGTCTCATCATACTAAAAATTGCTGTTACACAGATGACATTTCTCTGATCAAAATTTCATGCCATTAGGAATTGATAATAAAAAGGCCACCCTCTAAAAGTTTTAACACACGTGTTTGGAAATCAAGAAACTCCTAAATAATTCATTGATCAGAAAAATTATAATGGAAAGTATAAAATATTTAGACATTGAATGATAATGAAGACATATCAGCACTTAGAGGAAAAATTTATACCTAAATATTGCATTATGTCAAAAACAGTTTTTAGTGGAAAATTTATACTTACAATACATATATTTAAAAAGGAAGAATAATTGAAAATAAGGAGCTAATCATTCAACTCAGAAAGATAGAGAATAATAGAACAAACCTGGAAAAGTAGATGAAAGGAAATAATGGAATATTTGAACAGATTATTAAATAGAAAACAGGCAATAATAAAGAAAAGCAAAAAAATTAAAAGAAGGGTCTTTGGAGAGACTGATCAAATGGTAGGCTCTGGCAAGACTGAACTATATGATAAACAATTTGAGATATGTGAGCCAAATGCTTCATTTTTTAAAATATATTTTATTGATTTTTTTACAGAGAGGAAGGGAGAGGGATAGAGATTTAGAAACATCGATGAGAGAGAATCATCAATCAGCTGCCTCTTGCACACCCTCCACTGGGGTTGTGCCCGCAACCAAGGTACATGCCCCTGACTGGAATCTAACCTGGGACCTCCTTTCAATCCGCAGGTCGAAGATCTATCCACTGAGTCAAACCGGTTTCAGTGCCAAATGTTTCGTAATGTGGCCAACAACCTAATTTGGATGAAAAATTTTAAAACTTATCTTTCTGTTGCTGCTTCTCAAATATTAATGTTTTAGCATATAAAAAGCAGTTCCAATATTTTTATTGATACCTTTCTATTCAATAATATAGATAATATTTTTTAAATACTATATTTTCTTCTATGAGACTCAGTAAAGGTATTTTGAATTTAAAAAGTGCCATTAACATTGTTACTTTTTCATGAATTGATTCTCTAAAAGGTTGTTCACTCTCCACACTTTGTTACATTTAAAGGGAATGTAACTTTAAGTTACATTTAAAGGGAATCAAGTACACAACTGTTTATTACCTAGCAAGAAAAAGACAGCATAGAATCCACAGCCCTTTAGCATATGTTCCTTGCTAATAGAATGGAATGAAATAAAGGAAAATAATTATTAAGTAACTAGAAGGCTCTTAATGATATAGTAGAGTCTACTCAAGTCTTTGATAACTGATCCAGTGTTATTCTTTGTGACATCAATACTCCTCCTATTTAACAATTGGAAATATATATCATAAACATAAGTCCTTCTATAACAGGATTAAGATTAATGCTGTTGGTTACATTGTACAATAATAAAAATGTTTAGAAAGATATCGCCCAACTGTTAAAAACTTAAATAATCTATTCTTTTACTATTTCTTACATAACATTACTGACTGGTGCTAAAATGTGAAAATTATGTTAAAAGGACAGAATAATATTATTTTTTAAAATATGTTTTTATTGAGGGCTTGTGTGTGTGTGTTGTTTATTTTTAGAAAGAGAGGAAAGGAAAGAAAGTGAGAGAGGGAGGGCGAGAGAGAGAAAAACATGGAAACATAGATGAAAGAAAGAAACATCCATTGGCTGCCTCCTGCCACACCCCTTACTGGGGATGAAGCCTGAAACCTGGACATGTGCCCTGACCAGGAATCCAACCAGTGACCATTTGGTGCATGGGATGATGCTCAATCAACTGAGTCACACTGGCCAGGACTTTTTTAAAATTTATATTTATTGATTTTAGAAAGAGATAAGAAAGAGAAGGGGGGGAGAGAGAAAAAAAGAGGGGGGAGGAGAGACATAAATATCAATTTGTTGTTCCACTTATTTATGTATTCATTAGCTGATTCTTATATGTGTCCTGATCAGGGATTGAACCCGCAACCTCGGTATATAGGGACAAAGCTCTAACCAACTGCGCTACCTGGCCAGGGCAAGAATAGAATAATTTTAATATTTAATTGGGGAGTTTTATTGAATGTTGACAGCACAGAATAAAATTTAGGAAATTAGTTAATATTAATTTTCTAAATAAAGTTTAATATGTATCATGGATTTTCACTTGTGGTTTTCTACAAAACATTTCCAGGTTAATTTTTTCTTTAGAGAGACAGATTTTAATAGACTTATTTCCTCAAAGTTCTCCAAAATTATAAATGTTACCTTTTTGCCGTTCTATCCTTTATTAAATAAACTCTTGACCATATTAATTTATTCTGTTTGGAATTTAAGGATATAGACAAGTCAGATAATGAAAAGTTAAACAAAGGAGGTAATTAGTATTTTAGCAAAATTTCTAAATCGTAAGTTTTATTTTTTGGCATTAAAGTATTTTGAAATGACAACTTATTTATGATAACTTTTTTGAGAGAAGGCATACATTCAAAGTAACAAATGTGGAAATTATTAATCAATTTCTGAATGACTTTACTTAATAAAATTATAAATACCAGAACGTAGAAAATAATATTTTAAATATGTTTTCCCACTAGTAATAGAAGCAAGTAAGATTAATGAAATAAAAATTGAATGAAGAAAAAATATAAACAAGTATTGGAAAGTCTGTTCCAGACAATATATTGTGAAATATGTTAATAAATTACATTTGAAAATTTAAAGAAATTGCCTTCACTTTAGCTGTATGTTTGATTTCATTAGGAAGTATTGGATCCTCCAACAGAGTTCACCTACAGCTATACTGCTCAGTACATGTAGATATAGAGCATTTAGAATATAGCTCATCTGAATTGAGATGTGCATAAGTATAAAGTACACACCACATATCAAAGATTTAGTGTGTGAAAAGAATATTAATTATAATTATCTCTAATCCTTTTATAGTCTATGTTGTTAAAATTATATTTTGGGTATATTGGGTTAAGTGGAATATTAACATTTATTTCACCTATTTTTCCTTCTTAAAAATTTTTAGTAGATTTTAAATTACATTAAGTGACTCAAATTATATTTCTGTTAACGAGTCAGATAGTTTTTCACCATACATTGTATCAAGCAATTTTTTACAAAAATAATGAGAACATTGAATAAGTAATAGTCCTGTGCCAATTGTTGAACAAATAGAACTACATAAAAATATGTAGTAGTGTGTGTAGGGGGGCGAGGGGTGTGATCTTACTTTTCTATTTGTCCTTAGTAGTAAAGAGTTTGAGTTATTCATTAATTTGCTTGTTTATTCATTCAGTAAACATTTATCATAAGGTCACATATGTAAGATACTGAGAATATTTATGCTAATGTGTCCTCAAATACTTGTTATACATCAAATATTTTTAAAGTATGTAGTGTATATTGTACTATAAAGTACTATAGAACAAACAACTAAATGGTTAGCTCATTAAAATAATCATTTACTTGACCTTAATAAGTGTAAACATCATGTTCTACTAGAGTTTATGAAATCAAACACAATTTTGCACACATATGAAGGATAACTTAGTTTTTCTAGGTTTCTCTTCACAATACTAAGCCCCAATGGATATTTTTTCAAACAATTGTTTTTCTCTATATAATATCATCATGAAAAAAAAAATAGAAGAATAAGAAATGAAAAGCATAAAATAGTTATTGGGAAGTTATTCATAATAGTGAATTTTTTTTTCTCACAGCAAATTTCATAATACTTTTTCTTTTCCTACTTTAATTTGTCTACCATTTTTTTTTAAATTTAGTTATCAAAATTTTATTTAAAATTTGACAATTTTTCTCTAACATTTTTCTTTTTATTGTACATGTACAGGAAAGAGAAAAATTTTGAATCATCTCAGTTTAACCCAGAGAAATAAATCTACGACTAAAGACGAGGAGTAAGTTTGTTATTTTTGAAATAATATACACGTGTTTTGAAAGAAAAGGATCATATTTATGAGTGATAATTCAAGAGAAATTATTTCTTTGCAGAAACTGATAGTCATGCCTGAGTTGGAAGTATTCTTTTTAAAGAAGTAAAATACTTTATTTGTGATGTGTTTTACAGTGTTCATATGATAGTGATATATGATACCTTAATTTTAATACTCATTGAGCCCAGTTTTCCCAGTCTATATATAAGAGACCAGCTTAAGGTAAAACTCAGGAATAGCTAAAAGGGTAAATGAGCTAAACATATGAACTACTTTGATTTTTCAGATTTACATAAATCAGACTTACAGATTTATGTTGTCTGGTAACACAATGCCTAACAAATAGCTGGTTCAAGAGCTAAGAATACAGTGAGGCCAACAGAGTAAGGGATCCAGAGGAACCTAGAAGGCAACAGGCCAGCAACCAACCATATTCATATTGGACTGCCAATGGTGCCTTGGATGAAGTCATTATCTGCAAAAAGCTACTGCCTATATATTCAGAAAAAAATATTTGTTCACTGAGGCTAGAAAATTTGAATTAAGAATGGGATTAAATTTTCAAAGTAGTTCATATGTTCAGCTCATTTACCCTTCTGGCTGTATCTTCTGTGTGCCACACAATATAATGGATAGACATGAGAAAAATGAAGTTTCTACCCATTGTGAAATTATGGTTTATGTTAAAACTAGAGACCTGATGCATGAAATTCATGCAAGGATAGGCCTTTGCAGCCCTAGGTGCCTGATGCCCCCAACCCCGCCCACTGGTCTTCCTGGAAGGTCATTCCACTAATCCAGTCTAATTAGTATATTAGCTCTTTATTATATAGGATACCTTCCTCATCTTAAATATGGGTTGAGGATAATATTTCAAAAATATTTTTAAATCATTTAGTGAAACTCAGAATGAATTTTTCATATAAATAGTGTGGTAATGTGTAGTTATTCCCCCAGGTCAGGGCCACAAGTCAATTTTTTTACATAATGTATCAATAGCTAAGCTGCTTTAAAAGATAGAAAGTGAGTGCCATTTAGAGTACAATAGTAATGCAGGGAAGAAGCCCCCCTTGTTTGGCATCTCCTACATTTATCACTACCCCTTTATTTGTTCTTCTTTCCCTAGCTATGTTCCCCCCAACTCCAAATATTTCCATGTGCCTTAACCCAAACATTTTTGTAGTAAATTACTACTAATTCCTTCCCCTAATCAAAGTTCCCATTTCCTCAGTGAAATCTGTCTCAACTAGATATTATGAGAAAAGCATTTTTTTAACTTACTATATTTAAAAATAAACAATATATGTACACAGTGAAAAAAACAACCTCAGGCCCAGCCAGTGTGGCCCATGGTTGAGTGTCAACCCATGCACCAAGAGGTCACTGGTTTGATTCCCGGTTAGTCAGGGCATACGCTTGGTTCTAGACTTGATGCCCAGTTGGGAGACGTGCAGGAGGCAGCCATTCAATGTTGATATTTCTCTCTCATTAATGTTTCTATCTCTCTCCCACTCCCTTCTTCTCTGTCTAGAAATCAATTTTTAAAAAACCACACTATTTAAAAAATCTCAATTTGTACAAAAGGACATACAGTGAAAGCAGATGGCAATTAAGACTTTCTGAATCATATATAATGTATTTGAAAGCAGATAACTGCTAAACCAAATTACTAATACAATTGTATGAAGTATAACAAACTTAGAAGTGGAAGGAGGAAATGTTTTGGACAAGAGTGATACCATGTAAAAAAGCCAGAATTATCTGCTGCTTTCCCCCTGAAACAGCTCCACTTAATCTAACCTTTTATAGTTTTTTGTTTTTTCTTCTTTCTTTTTCTAAACCCATCAATTTACTTACAGCTCACATTTTTTCAGAATAGCTCCTAATGCACAGCTATGTGCTGAAAACTCTTGCAGGGAAGGTTGTTTGCATGGCCTTGCTTAAGTAAGGATCCTGGGAAGAGATTTTCAGGTTTAATTTACCTGTCCTAGTATATCCAGTGCCAAGACTGAATTTCAACTCGGCTAGTTCCACAAGCCACATGTGAATTTCCTAAATATCCCGAGTTAGAAACTCCTCTGTTAAGGAGTCGTGTCTGAACTGAGTAGTGTAAGGCTGCCAACACAACCATCTTCCTCACACTCTGATACATATTCCTTTAATTCAGTTATCTACCGTGTTGCATAATGATTGATTGTTGACATTGTTTCCCTTCTTTTTTGTTTACCCAATTAGTAGATTGCCACTGTTTTTGCATTTTTTTAAAATATATATTTTTGGCTTTTGAAACTTAACTCTAATTTTTTTAAAGCTTATTTGGTCTAATAAGGATTTTTTAGTACCTAATGTTTTACTAAGCTTTTATGAATGCCACTTGATATAATTTTGTACCATTGCATAGAATCTGAAATAAATTTCAAAAATTAAAGCTAAAAAAAAAGGAGAATAGCTCCTATATCTGAGCTTTCAAGTAGCAATTAGAAAGGGAGAAATAAAACTCTATTTGCAAAGGACATGATCCTTTATGTAGGTCATCCCAAAGAATTCACAAGAAGCTACTAGATATAATAAACTCAGCAAAATTACAGGATCAACACACAAAAATCAGTTGTATTTCAGTATACATGCAGAACAGTTTAAAAAGGAAATTAACGAAGCAATTCCATTTACATAACACCTAAAAGAATAAAATACTTAATAATAACTGTAGCTAGAAAGATGAAAGACGTATACACTTGAAATTACAAAGCATTGCTGAGAGAAATTACAGACAATCTAAACAAATTTTGTGTTCATGTGTAGGAACATTTAATATTATTAAGATGTTATGTCTGGCCAGTGTGGCTCGGTGGTTAAGTGTCCAACTGTGAACCAAGAGGTCATGGTTCAATTCCTGGTCAGGGCAAATGCCCAGGTTGCAGGCTTGATCCCCAGTAGGGAGCATGTAAGATCCTGCTGATCAATGATTTTCATCATTGATGTTTCTCTCTCTGTTCTCTCTCTCTCTCTCTCTCTCTCTCTCTCTCTCTCTCTCTCTCTCTCTCTCTCCTCTCTCTCTCTCTCTCTCTCTCTCTCTCCCTCTCTCTCTCTTTTTCTCTCCCTTTTTCTCCCCCTCCCCCTTCCTCTCTGAAATCATTTAAAAATATATTTTTAAAAGATGTTACTATTATACTTCCACCCAATATGATCTACAGATTTATTATAATCATCAAAAATCCATCATTTTTTCCAAAAATGGAAAAGCCTGTTCTTAAATTCATATGAAACTATATGGGTAGAGATCAAAGACATTATGCTATGTGGCATAAATCAGATGGAGAAAGACAAACACTATATGATATTAATATGATATTACTTATATGTAGAATCTTAATAATAAAAAAAAGTCACTCAAAAGGACAGAATAAAATATTGGTTGCCAGGGGATGGAGCATGGGGGATAGAGCAGATGTTGTCAAAGGGTCCGAAACTTGAGACAAGTAACAAATAAGTCCTAAATGCATAGTGAATATAGGCAACAATATTTGTTGTTATATTCTTCAAACTTGCTAAGTCTAGAGCTTAATTATTTCAACCACTAAGAAAAGATGATAATTATGTAACACTAGAGCCCAGTGCACAAATTAGTGCACCAATGGTGTCCATCAGCCTGGCCTGAAGAATCAGGCCAAAACCAGCTCTCTGACATCCCCTGAAGGGTCCTGGATTGTGAGAGGGTGCAGGCCAGGCCAAGGGACCCCACCAGTGCACGATTGGAGCCGGGGTGGGACGCGGGAGTTTGGCTAGCAAGGGGGGACTGCAGGAGGGCTCCAGAGTGTGTCTGGCCTGTCCTGATCAGCTAGACCCCAGCAGCAAGCTAACCTACCAGTCAAAGTGTCTGCCCCCGGAGGTCAGTTCACATCATAGCGAGCAGTTGAACAGCCTTAGCATATCATTAGCATATTACACTTTGATATACATATTTTATATATATATATATATATATATATATATATATATATATATATATGCCTAAGCAACCCGTTGACTGACCAGTCATCCCATAGCTATAACGTGCACTGACCACCAGGGGGCAGATGCTCAATGCAGAAGCTGCCCCCTGGTGGTCAGTGCGCTCCCACAGCAGGAACACTGCCTAGCTGACCAACAGGTGCCAGACACTGGGCTCATGGCTGGCGAGCACGGCTATGGCAGCGCAAGCTTCCCCCTGTGCATCCCTCCCCAATCCAGACCAGGACTGGTATTGGAACTGACTGGGCGTGAGCCCACAGCCGCTTCTCGGTCATGAACGCACAGTGTTGCCCTAGGACAGGCACGGAGACTGTAGCGGAACGGCAGCAAGCCTACCAAGCATTGGCAGCAGTAGGCACAGCAGGGCCAGGATGAGCAGGAGCGGCACAGTGTGGCACCCGGCCCAGGCTCAGGCCCCCCCCTGGCTGCCTGCCACTTTGGTACTATAATACTACATCCCTCAGGAGATATAGGACTGCCAGTTTCGGCCGATCCTTGCAAGCCAGGCCAAGGGACCCCCCACCAGTGCATGAATCTGTGCACCAGGCCTCTAGTTAAAACATATAAACCTATCAAATTAACTTGGTGTATACTTTAAATTTACATGTGTCAAATATATTTCAACTTTTAAAAAAACTGTATAAGACCCTAAATTATAGCCTTCAAAATTATAGTCATGGATAATGTGCCCAAAATTATATATATGTAATGTTATATAAAGAAAAGAAGTATGATATAAAATTATAGAAATGTTTTCTTAAAAACAAACAAACAAACAAACTAAGGATTTTTCCAGAATGTTAAAATGCTAACTTTCTGATAGTTCATTATTGGTGTATAGAAATGCAATCCGGAGGTAGGATTACAAGTGAAGTTTTCTTTGTTTCTTTGTGAGTGCCTTTGTATCTTTTTCACAGTAGAATATATTAAAGCCATAAAACTTCTTTATTTAAAAAAATCACTGTGTAACACTGATTCATAGGCTTAGATCTAGGTAAATAAGGAGATGATGGTCTATTAGTGTTCTCAAACTGGTCTAGAGGAGAATGGAATAAGCCAACTACATCTTGTAGACAAAAGGGGGGGCTCTGTAATAAATCTGACTGAAAGTAACCTTACAGGTTGATCTGATCATAAATTCCTAACTGGGCAGGTCATAGTGGGTTATCATGCCCCACTGTAATTTCTCTAGTGAAAGATTTTTAATCCAGCCCTGTCTACTATTTTTGTGTATCTAGGTTAACAACCTTTGAACTGTCAAACAGTCCTCTTTTCCTTCCCTTGAAGGTTTACCCACCCAAAAGGGAACACGTAATCCCGTTAACTATCCTATACTTTCCTCACACCTTCATGTAATCTTTTTCACATTCCCGCCTTAATTCCAAATGTGAAAAAGAAACAACAAAACTGTCTTTCTCTGGGAGCATTTGAGATCAGGCTTCCCAACATGTTGCCAGTGTGGCTCAAATAAGCACTTAATAAAAACTCTCTACAAGTTTGGACATTTCTTAGGTCTACAACCCTTTCTCCTGCTCAGTGGGATTGAGAAAAAGCAAAATTCTAAAAGACAGGATGGTTGATAATATATATTGTCTTGTAAAGGAATGAATGAATGGAAGGGGAACATTTACATCCCTAACCACTTTGAAAAAAATGTAAAGAAAATGAATAAAAAACTGAATGTAAAATACTTTTTAAAAAAAGAAAATTCTGAAAATTACTTACTTTTGTTTAAATGCTTGATCTTCTTGCTAAGTACAATATTTTTCTTTACTCATAGATTAATGGTGTTGCTATCTAAAGTTGAGAAATCATCAGAGGAAATCATGGAAATAACGCAAAGTTTAAGTATTACACAGGTTTGAGCTCTTTTTTTTTTTTTTTGGCATATTATGTATTTTTTTCATGCAGTTGTAAATAGGATTGTTTTCTTAGTTTCCCTTTCTGATAGTTCATTATTGGTGTATAGAAATGCAATTGATTTTGGGGTATTTGTTTTATATTCTACTTTACTGAATTCATTTCTAATTTCAGTAGTGTTTTTTGTTTTGTTTTGTTTTGTTTTGGTAGAATCTTTAGGATTCCCCACATATAGTATTATGTCAACTGTGAATAATGACAGTTTTACTTTTTCCTTCTTTTATTTCTTCTTCTTGTCTGACTGCTGTGGCTAGGATTTCCAGTACTATGTTGAATAGAGTGATGAAAGAGGACATCCCTGTCTTATTCCCCATCTTAAGGGATATGCTTTTAGTTTTTGCCCATTGAATATGATGTTGGCTGTGGGTTTGTCATGTGTTGCCTTTATTATGATGAGGTATGCTCTCACTTTGCTGAGACTTTTTATCATAAATGGATGCTAGATTTTATCAAATGCTTTTTTTTTACTCTACTGATATGATATATGATCATGTGATTTTTTTATCCTTCATTTTGTTTATGTTATGTATCACATTTATTGATTTGCAGATATTGAACCAACCTTGCATCCCAGAAATAAGTCCCATTTGATTATGGTGTTGCTCTTTTTAATGTATTGCTGGATCCTGTTTACTAATGTTTTGTAGAGAATTTTAACATCTATGTTCATCAGGGATATTGGCCTATAATTTTCTTTCTTTTAGTGTTTTTTGTTGTTTTTTTTTTACTTTTGATGGGAAGGCAGATTGGTGATTACTACTTCAGTTTCACTAGCTGTAACCTGTCTACTTAGATTCTCTGATTTTTCCTGTTTCAATTTTGGAAAAGTGTATGTTTCTAGGAATTTTCCATTTAGTTCGGATTATTCAATATATTGGCACATATGGCATATAATATTTTAAAATTCTACTATCCCATTTGAAAATAGAGGATAAGAGAAAAGCTCCAGATTGGAGAATCCCATTCAGGAAAGAGTTTGCAGGGGATATGTTTAATTTGCTTTTCATGGCAATTTCTTTTATGAATATTAATAAACTAATATTTTAATAATACTTATCGTTTTCACATTTAAAAGTAAATTTGTAGATTATGTTTAGTCTTTAATTATTAAATTATTTTTATGCAAGCATTTTAAAACTCACAATAGTTGACCTACCAGAAAATTTCCTGCCATAGAGTTTAAGTTTTTCAGATGAAGGAAACTATTTTCATTAGAGTTGTCAGTAATACTATATTTGAAGAGAACTTACTTAACTCACTTAAAATGACTTTCTTTTAGGCTTTGGAGGACAATAGAAAGCTTCAAAATCTCATTGGTATTTCTTATGGACCATGTTTCTTAAAAAGAGAAGTGAAGAAAATGAAAGAACTAAGTAAGAAGACTATGAGTTTACAATAGTGTCTCTCACTCCTTGTTTGCAAGCTTAGATAAATATTTTAATATTTTCAACTTTAGCGATAAAGCCTATTTAGAGATAAGCCTATTAATTCTTCCAAATTTAAATTTTATAGACTTTATTTTTTTCAATATTTTTTTAATCTTTAATTTTGAAAGTATTACATATATTTCCTTTCTCCCCCAATGGCTTCCTCTAGCCTGCCCCTGCCCCAGGCTTTCACCATCCTATTGTTTGTGTCCATGGGTGATGCATATATACATGCAAATTCTTTGGTTGATCACCTCCCATCCATCCATTCTCTTCTGCCTTCCCTTGAGATTCCACATTCTGGTCCATGCTTCCATATCTCTGGATCCGCTCTGTTTTTTATCAGTTTATTTTGTTAATTAGATTTCACATATGAGTGAGATCTTGTGACACTTGTTTTTCTCTGGCTGGCTTATTTTACTTAAGATCCCTCCATGCTGTCTCAAAGGGTAACAGATCCTTCTTTTTTACTGCTGCATAGTATTCCATGGTGTAAATATACCACAGCTTTTTTAGCCACTCGTTGATAAACATAATATAAACATAATAAACATAATATATATATATCACTATTGGACATGTGATAGAAATAGTATTTAAAGAATAAAAAGCCACTTTTCTTTTACCCCGGAATATATTATTTCAGGGATTCCTCTTTAATATAAAGGGAAAGAATGTACCTTCAAAACTGTAATTGGACTTTTTTTATGTAGTGCTCATTCTTTAAATATAGTTTATTAAGGTATTGCATTTTGTCCTTGCTACCTATGCATATGTATTACTTTGAATTTTTTTCATGAAGTTGTTTATTCTAATATGAGAAATTATTCCCATTCCATGTTAATTCTTAACATATTTTTTCCCTTCTAGTGACAAAAGTAATAAACCAAAAACTGTTAGAAAAGAAGAGTTCAGAACTTTCTAATAAAGGTAAAAAGTTTATTTTAACTTATTATATAAAAAGAATCCTTTCATCTCATTTTACCATTTACAACCAATCATTACGAGTTTTTAATGTACTCTTAAAAGACCAGGAATCTTTTATGAAAAATTGTGTATTGCATTTAGCAGAAGACCAGTTCTGATGAGCTCAACTTCCCTGATGATTGAACTTTTAAAATACCTTTTGAAATAGAAGTTTCAATTTAAGATTTGTAGTTTTATTAAAAGTCCTTTTTTGAGAATCCAGACAAATGGGGCAACAGTGCATTCATATAAAGATTCTAATGGTGAATTAGAAGGAGACACAAAGCATAAAGTTACTTTGTAACCAGTGTCCTGAAAACTTGCAGATCATTAATGATGTTGAATCTACTGTTAACTATTATGCCTCTGAGCATTTAACAGTATGGATAATTAAATTAACAGGGTTTAAGTTCCATAACACATGCACATCCACACCTTAGTAAGCAAAATAATCATGGGCTGTTAAATATTAAAACCTTTTAACAATTTAAGAGGCAACATTTTAATATTACCGACATGAATGCCATTTAGCAATCTCTAGAGGTAGGCCTTGAAATGCGTAGGTAGGCCATGTTTTAGTCTGTCATTTTTGAGTCTGACTATTGAGGTCCAATAATTACTATAATTATTATCCTCATTGCAGCTCTGTAAGATAGCTGATATTATTGCCATTACAGATAAGGAACAAGGTCACAGAAAATGTTAAGTAACTTGCCCAAACACTGCTACTTAAGTGTCAGGCAGAGGATTCCAACTAGAGGCCATCTGATCTCAAAAAGTACCCTATTTCCCCGAAAATAAGACAGTGTCTTATATTAATTTTTTCTCCCAAAGTTGTGCTAGGTCTTATTTTCAGGGGATGTCTTATCTTTCCATGTGCTAGGTCTTATTTTCGGAGGATGTCTTATTTTCGGGGAAACACGAGTATGATCTTTTCATTATTCCATATTGCTTCTTCCTAAAACAAATCAAATCATGCAGTCATCCCAGCTTTCAGATTCAGACATGAAGCATAACTGAAACTGGTTCAGCCAATCTATTCTGTTAGACTGTGTTTTAGGCATCCCAGGGGTGGGTAGCAATGGGAGTGAGAGCAAGCTTAGCAGACACCCTGCATTTCCACTGCACCTCAGTCCCCATCACCCTCACTCCCAGGTAGCCAGCGAGAAGTCACAGCACATCGCCAATGTCCACCATGTTCATGCCGCTCTCTGGGTGGTCAGCGCACGTCATAGCGAGTGGTTCGAACTCCCAGTTTCCTGAAGGACCACCCAACGGGACAATTTGTATATTGAGCTTTTATTATAAAGGATTTTTATTTTGCTGGCATATTTTGTTTTATTTATTTGTTTGTTTGTTTGTTTGTTTTGGTTAAAGTTGATGTGCAGCAACATAAGCACATATATATATGTAAAATTTTTTCTAAGTTAATAACTTTAAACTCCTTCTATTCATACATTCATTTTAAGAGGACTTTGTTAGTTTTGTCCAACATCTCAAACTAGTTTGCTTTATATGTTTCTTATTTGCAGACTTGGTCTTGAACATCTTATAGAAATTTCTAATTTTTTCTTTTAGTATGCTGGTATCCAGAATTGTCTAAATTTAAAAATGTTTTAGATATCTTCATAATGTTGGAAAGTATGTAGTTAGGAGATATATAATACAAAAACCAGCCCTGTAATATGTGTTAGGTTTCTTTTATTAGGTAATTATGAAATGAGAATAAACAAATACTTATTTCATTATCAAAAGAATGTCCTTCAGCCTGGCTAGTGTGGCTCAGTGGTTGAGTGTCGACCCATGAACCAGGAGGTCATGGTTCTGTTCTGATCAGGGAACATGCCTGGGTTGTGGGCTCAATCCCCATTAGGGGATGTGCAGGAGGCAGCCAATCAATGATTTTCTTTCATCCTTGATGTTTCTATCTCTCTCTCTCCAGTACACTCTGAAATCAATAAAAATATATTTTAAAGAAAGAAAAGGAATGTACTTCAGTTTCTTATAAAATTTTCCTACAATAATTAAAGTAGACAATACCAGGAGAATTCTAAGACTAATGCTGTAGTGAACTCTTTGAATTGGTCCCTTAGTTGTATATGCTTTAAATTTCATTGCTAGCTTGTTTAGCATCAGTTGCAGTTTTTATTATAGGCACAAGTATACTCCTTGTAAAAATAACACTCTAATGTTTTAAAGAAATAGACATCTGACACCGATTCTTAAAACTTTATGTAATTTATTCAAAAAAATAAAAAGAGTACACTGAGATTTTTATAATTTTCAAATCAGGGGATGCTTTGATTGAGTGTACAATACACTCTGTCTTTTTTATAGTTTGCTAACTACAAATTTCTTAAACAAAGGAAAGCTTCTTTCTCTTTTAAGTTACTTAGGAAGTAAGCCTACTTCACTTTCCTTAATAATATTGGCTTTATGACTATTAGAAAAATAATGAAATGAAAGGTTCTTTTTCTATTACATTTGGATGTGAATTTTCATAATTATTTTTAATTTGTTATGCTGAACATTTAAAACATGATCATTCAATGGGTTGATAGAGACGGAATGTCACATTATCATCACATGGTAAGGCATGAAATTTATTTACTTTACATAATCAACCTCAACTTAAAACAACTTAATACAAATATTCCTAAGTCAATAGATGGCATTATATAGTACTTAGTATTTTCATTTTTTTCTGGAGATATTAGAAAATGCCACCATTGTTTGTCTGTGTCTACTACTTCCAGTAAACAAAATGTTTTTGAAAAGAATGTAAGCAAATTATAGAGCAGTTGCCAAGATATGAAATCTAGACACTTAACTTCAGTCCAAAACATATTTTATCATTTTTGAGAATAATTGTGTAGGTTGTAGTATGCATATTTTAAATGAAATGTTAACCATCTGAACTTTATATTGTTCAAAAAAGTTGCTTGTTTCAGCTGTTTGTAAGACAAAATATTTCAGCATTTCTCTTGCTAGCCTTAAAAAGAAAAGCACAGATTATAATGTTTCTGTTGTCTTTAGCTTTTTTGAATTTTACTTATATTGTAAAATTCATCTTAGTTATAAGATTTTAAAGTTTTATAATTTGTAGACTACAGGACAAATTTTAAACTTTTTTTGTTCTAAGACTATGAAATAGTTTGATATTGCCTTTTCATTCTAACCACCCACTGAAGTATTTTTCAACTTAAAAATATGTTGTTCTTTTTCCCACTCAGTCTTGAAGAAATATTCATTATATCAGCTAAATAATTTTACTCCTAAAAGGGTATTTTTTCTGTTACAGCTTAACAATTAAAGAATATTCTTTTTCAAACAGTTTTAAAAGCACTGAAGTTTAATATTTAGACATTAAGAGTTTTAGAGAAACAACAAAAATTCCCTTCGTGCTTTAACATTCTAAGTTTACCAGAAGTTTTTTTAAAAATAGAGATATTAGTTTTGGACACACAAATATCCATTAACGTACAACTGTAGTCCTCATCTCTATCTAAGGTTCAACTGTCATGGAAGCTGTAGCTGGGTTATATCTTTCCTCATAACAATGATAATACCCTTTTTTACATAATTTAGCACTGTTTGGGGAATACGTTTCAACTGCTTACTTGATATTTGTCTAGGATTTAAGGAAAAATTGCTTTATTACTTTTTACAGCCTTTTAAGGAATTTTTCCCATAATTTAAATTTATTTATATTATACTAGAAGTATGATAATTTTTATCTTTTAAGTAATCAGTAAAAAAAAAAAAATTAAACCATAGACTTGCATTCATTTATAGCAATTATGTGTTTAAGAGGTATAAATAACCTGCTACCAGACATTACAAATATCCAGGTGCTCTGTATGTGCTGATGACAACAAAATTGAAACGAAAGACTGTAATAATTCTGACTGGTTTTCTCTGCAGAAGATATTGATTATTTGTGTGTGGTGAGAGATTTGGAAAATTCAATTAAAGGAGTTGTGCAAAGGTTTCATAAATTTTCTTTCTACAGCGTGTACACAGACATTGTTGCGTATTAAATCAATGCAACACTTCACAATATATTTTCTTTGAAACATAAAAATAAATAACATTTAAACAGTTCTGCTTACTACAGAAACAAATTTTATTTTCTGTGAAGCATTTAGTCATGTGCTATCACTGACTCATACACATTTGCCAGCTGTAACAAATTTTATAGACATTTTCTCCAGAGACATATCTCACATACTATGAATTTTTAAATGAGCAAATGGTGAAGAAGGGATGTCAGCAATATAAAAATTGATCAGCTAAAAGATAAAAGCATAAGTAAAGAGATTTGTATGGTAGTCTTAATAGGTTTTATTAAATAAAAATACTATAAAAAGACAGTAATGAACAGACTGAAGACTAACTGTTCTTGAGATGGAAAAAAATTATTCTGGCACATTTATTAGAAATTGCTTTTATGTCACCTGACAGGTGAACTTTTTTCCCCCCATTTTAACTTAGAGTAGTCAGAAAAGCTCCTCAAAAAAAAAATTAGTTAAATTCTCTAAGTGGCTTATATATTTTAAACACAGATGTAATAATATTTATAGTGTTATATAGCTAATTATATAGTTTAAAGCAGAACTTATGTAATAATAGTAAGGGTTAGGTGATTTTTTTCCCTTCGGCTCAGACCTCACGTAGGAGGAAAGTAGTCATTTTAATTCATACTATTCACAAATTGGGACTCCAGGCCTCTACTGCCTCTCTCTGCCTGGGTTGCTCTTTCTTCTTCATCTAGTAAACTTCTGCTCATTCTTTAAGGCCAGTTTTAGGTGCCACATTCTCTGTGAGTCTCTCCAAGCTAAATTGCTTCATCTTCTAGGCTTCTTACAACTCTTGTCTGAATGTTTATAAATGTATCATGTTACAGTGTTATGTATTGTGATTGTGTGGTTACAGGGCTCTTTCTTGGCTCTTCTTCAGCAAACAAATAACAGCCATCTCCATATTGCAGCCCCACAGCCTACTGTAGAGTCCAGATAGAAGGTCCACAGTGCATGTTCAGTGAATGAATAAACACAAATGGGCACTCTAAGAATTTTTTTAAGGAATTACCAAAATATTTTCAAATACTTACAAATTACTATCTCCTTAATGCCTCATTCACTCAACATTTATTGAATACCTACTATGAGCCAGGCACTCTTCTATACACTAATGAACAAGAGAAGAATCATAGAAGCTAGCACAAAAGACAATTGTAATAAACCGTAACCATACATTATAATAATAAATCTCTTGGCAGTTTTCATCCTAAATTTTTAAATATACATTCTGAAACAACAGAGTCAGGTAAATCAGTTGAAATGGGAATTTATAGCCCCAAAGCTGCTAATTATAATGTAAAATAAAACTTTATGTTTGGGTTCTTTATTTTAATTTCACTTTGATTCAGCATTTATTCTGCATCATATACTGTGACAACTTGCATTGAATTATTTTCTGGAAAAAAAAATCTTTTTTCTTTTTATACAGAGTTATATCATCTTAACAGCTATGAATTCCTGAAGGCCATTTTAAACTGAGGTAATGCTTCACCTTTCTAATTAAACATAGCTTTGTTAAATTTCACTTTATTCAGGTGGATACATTTTATTGACATCAAATTTGGTACTGTCTGTCTACAAAGAAAATAAGGCCATGTGCTTTGGAGATTATATTTATTATAATCTGTTCTGATAAACAGTAGGAGGGAAGTTTGACAAAAATCTGTAAGAGACTGATTTTAAAAAACACTGTTGCCAAAACTGGTTTGGTTCAGTGGATAGAGAGTTAGCCTGTGGACTGGGGGGTCCTAGGTTTGATTCCGATCAAGAGCGTGTACATTGGTTGCGGGCACATCCCCAGGAGGCAGCTGATGGATTTCTCTCATTGATGTTTCTAGCTCTCTATCCCTCTCCCTTCCTCTCTGTAAAAAAATCAATAAAATATATTTTTTAAAAATAAAATAAAAAACACTGTTGATCTGACCAGGCTAACTTTAATTCAGAGTGAGGATATCTAAGTAAATATAAAGAGGACCCTTAATTGAGCACCTTTAGTAGAAATATCTAAATAGTTACTGACAGATGAGTTATAGGGCACATCTGACTACAAGATATAACAAGTCTATAAATTTGAAAATGTGCTAAATTGATTAATTACATATTAATTAGTTGTTTCTTTTCCTTAAAAACAGTTCCTGTGGATTCAGCAATAAAAGTAAAATATGTCATATTTACAAATAGCTTATTATAACTTAGCTAGCTGGAAGCAATTTGAGTGAAGATGTGATATTAGTGTTTACTATACCTATAACTGAAGGTTCACATTAAGAACTACCATTATCCCAAACTTAATGGCATCAGTATTAATTTTCTTAGAAGCTAACCAGATGTTGCCTGCTATCTCTTAGAAACAATGCAAAATGAAATAATTCCATTCTGAAAATATGATTCTTTGGAAATGGTATCTCAAATAATTAGTATCAGCTTCCTGACAAACTAGCTCTTCTTAAATATCTGCAAAGCACCTTATATAGTAAATGTTAATTTTATTCATTACATTGTTTATTCTTTGTACACAACAAATAACCTACACTAATAAAAGAGAAAGATGCAAATTGACCATACCTTTGTGATGTCCACCAGCCAATCAGGAGTGGGTATGCAAATTAACCCAACAAAGATGGTGGGTTAATTTGTATATGTAGGCACTGAATAGCCAGGGGTGGGATGGGCCATGGTGACAACGCAGGCATTCTGCATCACTCCAGCAGCTCCAGGCCTCTGGCAGCATGGGAAGGCGGAAAGGCAGCTCCAGGCGGAGCAAGGCGGTGCCAGCAGCCAAGGGAGGAAAGCCCATTCTTGCATAAATCTTCATGCTTTGGGCTTATAATAATGTTATAAATGTTAGCTTATAATAACAGCTAACATTTATTGAGTACTTTCAGTATACCAGATACTGGTATAAGCTCTTCATAGATATCCTATTTAACCTTCACAATAACTTAGGTGAAGTAGATATAATTATTGTCTTTATAGGTAAGGAAACTAAGAAACAAAGAAGTTAAGTACCTTGTTCTAGAATTACCTAAGAGACAGACATAATACCAACCTGTGTAGTTTGGTGCCAGTCTGTACTTTTGCCCACTATACTGCAGTAATCTGTGAATGTCAGGTTTCACTACTGGTTAAGGATTTTAGATCCTATTAAAGAATAAGATCTCACATGTGTACACATGCATACTTATAGTTATTATAGGGTTAGATCTTTTATAAAATTTCTGATCTATGGAAATCCAACAGAAAACTATTAAATGGTGATCATAAATACATATTCACAGTTACCCATTGGACAAGTGAACAAACACATATAGTGTGTGACAGTTTCATTAGTGACCTTTAGAGGAACTGAGAATAGCTTTGGGGTCATTGAATCTAGCAAAGATCATTACATGTTAGGGGTATTCTTCTGAGTCTTTAATTTGAGTAATACTGTCAAAAAACTTGAAAGAATTAAGGTTGACCTACCAGTCACCTTCCCTTTCTATGGGAAGCAACAAAGAGAAGTAATAGTGAAATGAAACTTGACTTACCTTTGAGGTATTTCCCTGGTTCTTTTGACTGTGTTTTCTTTTCTCTTTGGTATTTTCTACATGATCTCATCCATTCCTTGTCTATAATTCTTACCTTAGTGTATATTATTTCCAAATCTATTTGTGATCCTTCTCCTGATATAAACCCACATCTCAGCTGCTATACATTGTCCCCCAAATGTGCTGATTTCATCACCCCCTCAACTGTTCTTTCTTCTACCTTCCTAATGTTTGTGTTCATCTAATGTTAAGGCTCAAAACCTCAAAATTCTGTCTCTCTTTGTTCCCATATCCAAACTGCTGCCATGTCACATCACTTCCAAAAAAAATGTTTACTTCTCTTTTCCATGCCCACTATACTAGTTTATTTCTTCATTACCTCTCATCCAGATTATCATCATCCTCATTGTAACCTGCACTCTGCCCTTTGGTCCCTTTCTTACATAGCCTGTCCTACTACTGGACAAATTATGCTTTAGAAGATATTACTCTACCATATTCACATAAAATCTAAAATTAAAAACTCCCTGATCGGACCACAATGTGCCTTTCCAATTTGTCATTGTGCCTTAGTCACTCCAGATTATTTGCCATTCTCCAGACAAATTCCTCATTTCTTTACCATTGTTCTTGTCTACTCTATTTGGCATACCTTTTCCCCCAGCATTGTCAAAATTTTGCCCATCTGTGTTTTTTTTTAAGGAGTGGCTTTTTAAAAATATATTTTTATTGATTTCAGAGCGGAAGGGAGAGGTTGGAAGAGATAGAAACATCAAATATGACGGAGAATCATTGATCGTCTGCCTCCTGCATACACACACACCCCCCACACTGGGTATCAAACCTGCGACCTTGGATCAGAGCCTGGGATCCTTCAGTCCACAGGTCTAAGCTCTATCCACTGAGCCAAACCGGCTAAGGAAAATTTTTGTGAAACCTAATAATCAAGCTAAGAATATCAGATTTATGTTATATACATGAAATAATAATATAAGGCAAGCTATGATAGTACTACAAGTTCTGACATTTTGTCTTTTTAGGGTTCTGGGCAATAGCAAATTCACAAAAGGATTGAGTCCAAAGAGGATCAAAGTATCAACTTGATTAGTGGAGGAATTGATAATCTCCAATATAGGAGGCTCTCTGGTAGAAGGTCACTAATATGGATTGTGCCTAAGGCAAAAGTGGGACCTCCTTTCCTCCACACTGAGTTTAAATCTGGAACTCTGTGTGCTCTCCCGAACCTGACAAGAGAGCTGGATCTTTGAAATAGACTCCATGTCCATGTGCCTCTGCAACAGTAAAGGAGGTAGAAGGGCTGGTCTCTACAACATGAAATCAGGAACACCGAGACCCATTGGACTTGAGGCTAGACAGTGAAAGGAAAACAAAATAGTGGGGAAGAGTGCTGTATAGAATAAAGGCATGTTCCATTAGTAGTAACATGTGGACCAGTGTTCTGGACTTTGACCATTTAAATGTGTCACTTCCCTAGGGTATAGAAAGCAAAGGAATTGACAGAAGTCCCTTCCTCTTCAGACTGAAGTACCAAATGAAGAATAAGCAGTGGTATAGAAATACAGAACAGACAGATCACCTCAGGATGGTTTAATGAGGTCCTTTGTAAGAGTTCATGATTTTAAAAATCAGTTCTAGTTATTCCACTTTACATATGGCTGACAGAGGGCCAGCCAGACCCTAGTAATGGAAACTTTGCACTTTACTAGGGATTTGGCACTTGAAAAATGACTAATTTTAACAGGTTGTGTAAACATACTAGGCAGAGAAAATGTGAACAAAAAGGCAGAAAAGCAGAATAATTGAACGGTAGAGTCCAGCCCCATCACTGTCAGTTGTGACTGCCAGGATACTGAGTTCAAACTTTATTCATTAGGCAGAAGTGGACCGGTGAAGGAGCAATCCAAAATGTTTTAGAAAGATTAACTGTATGAACAGTGAATCCTGTCAAAATGCTGCTCATAAACTGCAACACTGTAACTGGGTTGCTTTTTATTTGTGTTCTGAGATATTCCTTTCTAGAACCAGTATGGCAGTGTAGAGATAACACAGTGCTACTCCATACCTCTTGTGCTACAGCATACCACACATTGATCAAAGTATTTATTTTTGCTGGATCCTGAATTTGGCCTCAGAATCTTTCTCAACACAATTTCTTCAGTAACCGTGATCAGCTGATGAAGCGTCTTTAAAGGCACTGGCATTGCCATAGGGAACAGGGTTTGGATTAAATGTCCAGCTCCAGCTCTGTTACCCACTTAGCTGTGTGGCCTTAAACAAGATACTTGCTTCTACTAAACCTTAATTATAAAATGGGACTGATCACGTTTACCTGGGGTATGGTACAAATAATTAGTGCCTCCCCCAAAGTAACTACTAATAAATTGGTCTTCCTTTCTTCTATAGTGTTACCATTAGTTCTGATAACTGTGTATCAATAACATATAGAGATATTAAGGGAATGCTAAGAGTGCTTCAGTTTTCTATAGGAGTTTAGACCAGACTCAAACCAGAGTTGGTGAAAGTTGATTGTCTAAATGGCAACGGATCTTTTTATAGGATAAGAAGAAAAGGAAAAAAATTAATAAATAAATAAATAAATATATATATATATATATATATATATATATATATATATACATACACACTCTCTCTCTCTCTCTCTCTCTCTCTCTCTCTCTCTCTCTCTCTCTCTCAAGAATAGCAGCCTATCATGCGGTACTTCTTCATAACTACTAATGTAATCAAGGCAGGGTATTTCAGGAGTGAATGGTCCACAGGCCCTATGGGAATAGATGCCATCAGTTGCCAATGACAGCTTTTTTTAAAAGCTTCCCTCCACACGAGGGTCCTAAGACAAACAGACAGAAACTTCTACCACCACTAGGAGTCCCCAGAGGGACACACTGTGAATAGGAATGTCAGTAAAGA